ATTTATCGGTTCGTCTCACCACTCTACCAGGGCCTCCAAACCTAAGATTGGTTAGACTCCCATAAACATGCAGATTAGGTCTCCACCCCTTCCGCCCACTGGTTTCTGGAAGGTTCCATGGTCCTCCAGAACCAGGTGGAGGCGATAGAGTCCCAACCTGTTAAGCCATCCAGCCTGACTTGCATTGACCCGACCTAATTACAGGCTCACACAGTTAGCATGAGTCACACACAATAATTTTACCTACACTACTCTAGTAGCACACTAGAAGGTACTGCACATGTGTCTAAGAAGAACATCTGATGACTAGGGCAGCAGCTGCCTGATGCATCTGCTCCTCCATCCTCCCATTGTTGGTGATATCCACACTTGACTCCAGATGACTGTTCTGTGCTTCACACCACTGAGCAGCAGCCTCAGAATCCATCTTGTATGACTTTCAGAGACAGAGGACATAGGGCAGATCAGGAGGGCTGATCTTAAAGCGGAGTTCCAGCTGAAAAAAAAAAAAAATCAAAGTCAGCAGCTACAAAAACTGTAGCTGCTGACTTTTAAAATACAGCCAATTACCACTCCCTTTGTCCAGCGGTGTCCTCACCATCGCTGGTTTCACTGGCCATCTTCTCTCCCTGGTGACGGCATCTTTAGTGTGGGCACCCGGCTGTGACAGCCTGCAGCTTCACAGCCAGGTGCCCTCTGTGCATGCGTGAGAAGCGCTGCACTTTGTGGATGGTCCCGTATTGTTATGGGACCTGTCATGTGTCCCAGAAGACTATGGAGGGGAGGACAAATTCCGCTTCAGATCACCTAGGCGATCGCAACAGAAGTGGGAGCGGGTACCTGACAAATTCGGGTACCCACTCCCCAAAGGTGCCAATCCTTATTGGGGAGCGGGGGACAAAGCATTAAAGTGGAACTTCCCCTTTTGGGCAGAGCTCCACTTTAAATTCTGGGATGATTCCCTCTAAATTTAGCACATCTCTGAGTGTTGGCTGTAGGTACATGTGGTCAGCTTTTATCTGAATCTGGTGATGCCCTCGAAATTCTGTGACACGGTTAGTCCTCATGCACACTGGACGTTTTTAAAGCTGCTGTTTTTGTCTTTTGATGGTTTTTTTCTACAGCCAGTAAACTCCCCAGCATGTTATCCTATGTGTCTATGCACACAGACTGTAGTCAACGTTTTTTGGCAGGGACATTTTTTGGCTGGAAAAACGCTCTAACAGTGAAAAACGCAAACCAGCGTTTTTGGAGGTTTTTTACCAAAAAAAACAGTGTTTAACACAGAGCAATAAACAAAAGTGAAATCACAGTATTGGCATTAGAATATCAACAAACAGTTCACTTTCACTTAGCCTAAAAGAGAATTATGGGAATAGTTTTTTTTTTTTTTATAAATAATACTTACCTAGGTGGACGCAGCTCGATCCGATGCTGCATTTGTCCCCTGCTGGCTCTAGGTGTGAGAAACTCAGCGATCATATGAATCTCACATGATCGCTGAATTCTCACAGCCGCTCTGAGCAGACAGCGGTGACTGCTAGTCAACGCTGTCTACTCTGCCCCCCCCCACATTTCATGGAGCATTGGGGGGGCTGGCTCAGGCTCTCAGCGGAGCACGGCTAGGAAGTCAGCATCTTTCCCCAGCCTGGACCGGCTGAGTGACGTTAGTCGATAGCGGGCTTCAGCCCGCTGTCAGCTGAAAATGGGTCACAGGAGTGCAGAATGAACTGCACTCCTGTGGTCCACAGAAGTACAGCCAAAAGAGCTTTGACTGTACTTCTCCTTTAACTAACTATAGCATGAATTCCTAACCAGTCCACTGGTGAGCTGTCAGTTGGTCTGATTTTGGGGGGCCCTGAACCACTGTTCAGCAACAGATTCCTTTTCAAGGCAACAAAGTAGCAACAGTACGGTCTCTTTTACATACTAAACGTTGAAGGAGATAACGAGTGTGCAACCCCTTTAAGATGATTTACCTTGAAGGAATATCTCTTCTCATTTAGTTCACTTTATCCAACAGACACTATTGTAAAGCAATTGTCTATATTTATCCTGTTATCCATCCTGTTATCCTATTCATCTGACAGTCTTTCCATCACTATGCAATACAGTCTATCACACTAGATCCTAATGAGATGAACACATAGCTGAAGATATATATGGCAGTACTGTGTAGCAGCAAAGTAATGATTTAGAAATCTGAGAAACAGTCACTGTAGCACAAGGAACTTGCTTGGGAGGACTTACACTTGCACTTAACAATCCAGCAGAAAGTCCTCTTAAGCAGACAGAAAAAAGAAATGGAACCAACTCAGGAATTTGACTCGGAGAGTTCTGCAGAATGTTTCTCTAATGTTTCTATCACTTTCCTTTTCCTCCTCTTGCTGCACCCCCTCCTCTTGGGACTTGTAGTCCCATCCAGTACTTGGCTTGTTAGAGGTGGTCTCCTGAAGGCTACATCCCTCACAGTTCCAGGAGGCTGCCAGCAATCTCTCCATCACTCCATGGGCAGGCTTCATCCCTCCACCCTGCAGCCAATCACTGTTCTCTTGCTGTCCAGCAGTGGGAGGGGCTCTCATCCAGTTCTCTGTCTCTTTCCTCATTTTCCCCAAGGCCACTCCTCTGCTCACTGATGGCTGGGGAGAGGGGCTGTGGAAGGCTGCAGAGGCATTTATCGCCTTGTGCACATGGATGCTCCTCTGCCAGTGTTGTGGACTTGGGCTACACTGGAATTCAGCTTAAAAAGACAACAATGATATTAAAACAACAAAGAAGCAATCCCAAAAATGGTTCAGCACACAATTTCTGTTATTGAAATAAAAACTTACAAGCCAACTCTGCCTAAAATGGATAATTTCCTGTTGAGTGGCTATTGGCAAGTGTATAAAAACTCCTTATAAGTTTCCAATGATGAGCTATTTTCACCAAAATTCTCATTTTTGCTTGTCGTTAAGGTCATAAGAAAGCCAAATGATATTGTCAATAACCCTTTTTGAATTGTAATTTGTATAGAATAAAAAGATAACCGTGTAGTCCACCATTTAAAGAATTTAGCCAAGAGTGGGTGGAAAGGCACAAGTTACTAAATGACAATCATGTTAAAAAGTAAGCACATCCCATGGAAATAGTTGACTTTTTTTACATATATAAACGGACAAACTTAAAAAAAAAGATTCAAATGACCCATAAATTGATATAGTGTATTTATTCTCATAATCTAAATGATCACAAATGCAGATTTGTAATATGAAAAAGTAAGTACACCCCTTCATATACTACCACTTTAGATTCACAAACTAAAAACCAGATGTTCTAGATTAGATACCAATGATAAAAGAGCTCCTTAGGGAGTATGCAGGTGAAACCTGTCTTACTCTAACCTGAGGTATCTAGGGTCTGGTGTTTTCTTTGCTGTTGCTGTGTGTTTTCTCATTATGCCACGATCCAAAAGGCTCTCTGAAGCCCTCATAAAGATGGCTGTGGATGCCTATGAATCTGGCAAAAAGATTTTAAAAGGTTGCCAAATTATTTGAAATGAATCATTCTATGCTAAGGAAAACAATCTACACATGAAATAGATTTAAAAAGTCTGCTAATTTGCAACGGCTTGATAAAGGTGTCATTCGATTGCTTTCTCATAATGTCCAGGGATTTGGCTCTCCCTCTAACCATAGTAAAGCCTTTAATCATTATCGCTCTTTAGGAGCAGACATTGTAGCCCTCCAGGAGACACATTTCCCCCCTTCTTTTACCCCACGATATGTACATAAAGATTATTCTCTATGCTACTTTGCTAATGCTATGGAAAAGAAGAGGGGGGGTAGCGCTTTGTTTGTCCCAAACGTTTGTCTTTTTACTGAATCTAAAACTATTAAGGATTGGGAGTGACGTTATCTTTTGGTGAAAGGGCACTTAGGAGAAAACTTGGTCACCTTCCTGGTTTATTATGCTCCAAATACTAATCAGGTTGGGTTCTTTCAATCCCTACTCAGTTCCTTGGCTCCGGAGTTTGAGGGTGATGTTATTTTGGCTGGAGACTCTAATTTAGCATTGGACCAGCTGTTGGACAGATCCCGTACCGCCATGCTTATATCCCCTTCCAGACAGAGCCGTACAATTGCCCAAGTTCTATTTCGCTATGATTTAGTTGACGCCTGGAGAAAAGCTAATCCAACTTCCCAAGATTATTCTCATTTCTCCAGAGCTCATAATTGTTATTCCCGCATTGACCATGTATTTCTCCACACGAGATTACTTTCTAAACTAGTTACGGCCAAAATTGTCTCTACATCTTGGTCTGATCATGACCTGGTCCTCTTGATGCTTTTGACGTGGACGAATAAGACAGCTAATCCTCATTGGCGTCTTAAAGCAGAGATCCACCTAAAAAGAAAAAAAAAAAAGTCAAATTCGGGTACCCGCTCCCTAAATGTGCCAATCCTTAATGGGGAGCGGGGGTCAAAGGCTTAAAGCAGAACTTCCCCTTTTGGGTGGAGCTCCGCTTTAACCACTCGCCTACTGGCACTTATACCCCCTTCCTGCCCAGGCCAATTTCCAGCTTTCAGCGCTGTCACACTTTGAATGACAATTGCGCGGTCATACAACACTGTACCCATATGAAATATTTATCATGTTTTTGAAACAGATAGAGCTTTATTTTGGTGGTATTTAATCACCTCTGGGTTTTTTATTTTTTCTTAAATAAACCAAAAACCACTGAACATTTTGAAAAAACAAACGTTTTTTTCTTAGTTTTTGTTATAAAATTTTGTAAATAAGTGATTTTTTTCCTTCACTGATGTGCGCTAATGAGGCTGCAGTGATGGGCACTGATAGGCTGCACTGATGGACACTGATAGGTGGCACTGATGAGGAGGCACTGGTAGGTGGCACTGAAGGGCATTGACAGGCATCACTGATGGGCACTGAAAGGCAGCACTCATATATGGCACTGATAGGCAGCACTGACTGGCACTGATAGGCAGCACTGACTGGCACTGTTAGGTGGCACTGACTGACACTGTTAGGCGGCACTGATAGGCAGCACTGACGAGCACTGATAGGTGGCACTGATGCACACTGATAGGCGGCACTGACTGGCACTGATAGGTGGCACTGACTGGCACTGATAGGTGGCAATGATTGACAGCACTGATAGGTGGCACTGACTGGCATTGATAGGTGACACTGACTGGCACTGATGGGTGACACTGAAAGACAGCTCAGATGGGCACTGATATGTGGCATTGATGTGCACGGGTAGGCACTGATATGTGGCATTGATGTGGCAATGGCAGGTGGCATTGATGAGCACTGACAGCTGGCACTGATGGACACTGACAGGTGGCACTGCTGGGGCTACACAAATCATCAGGGAACACTGATTATCAGTACCCTGATGATCAGTGTACATGTCCCCTCTGCGGAAAGCCGATTACCGTCTCTCCTCTCCTCTCCTCTCGAGCTTTCAATGTGACAGCTCGTGAGGAGAGAAATGCCAATAACGGCATTTCCCTATTTACATGAGATCAGCTTTGATTGGACACAGCTGATCACATGACCGAGCCGACATCTTCGGCTCTTTCTATTGATCGGTGATCCACGGTGTCCGAGGGACACAGTACACCAGCAATCGCCGCACTGCGCGCTCCCGGAGCCGTGCATGCACAGTTAGAATGGGACAACGTCATATGACGTCCTCCCAGAACAAGAGAACCGCCTTGCGCCCGTCAGTGTACTATATGGCAGGCGGGAGGTGGTTAATGAATCTATCTTGGGCAATGCTTCTTATTGTCTTGATATTTCAACACATCTGAAATTTTACTTTGAGACTAATAAGGCGGAGGACACGACTCCTGCTATAAATGGGCGGCCCATAAGGCCTTGGTTAGGGGCTTTCTTATTCAACTATCCTCACAACTCAAAAAGGCTCATGACGACCTAATTCTGGCTAAATCTAAAGCCTATACAGATCTTGCAGCCCAACATTAAATGACCCCTGACTGGGATTTACTAGCTAAACTTGACCAGGCTTGATTGGAACTTAACTTATGCCTCAGTACTATGGCAGATAAACAGTTACGTTGGGCTAATCACAAATTTTTCACGTGGTGTGATAGGCCAGCCACCTTGTTGGCACATAAATTGTCTCCTATAAAGCTCTTCCTAAAATTAGACTATCGACTGGTACTATGTCCCAGGACCCTGGTAGAAGCCCATAGAGACCTAATGGATCAGCCTATCACTTGTGAGGAAATTCAGAATGCTGTAAAAACCTTAGCTCCACATAAATCACCAGGACCAAATGGTCTTCCTCATACTTATTATAAAGCCTTCTCGGATCTTTTGATTCCACATATGGCTCATTACTTCAATTATTTACGGGATGGGGGTGAGGTGCCATTTGATGAGAATAGAGCGTATATTAGTGTCATTCCCAAGCCTAATAAAGATACCACTGCTGTTCCTAATTATCGTCCTATTTCTCTGACCAATTGCAACCTTAAGATCCTCACTAAGATCTTAGCTTTACACCTTAGTATGTTTTTATCACACTACATTCATGATGATCAGTCTGGGTTTATTAGAGGCCATCAAAACTTGATCAAATTCGTCGAACTTTGATATTACTATCTGCTGTACGATCTAACTGGGATAATTCCCTGCCGAGGGAAATATTTCCTCCTCTAGAGCTCCACAAAGTGTTTGATAGTTTGACCTGGGACTATTTGTTTCAGACGTTGGATGCATTTGGGTTTGGCTCCTCCCTCTTGACTTTTCAGCTGAGGATTCTATTCGTGGGTATAAATCGGCTCCTCTACCTATTAGGAGAGTTACCAGACAGGGTTGCCCTCTCTCCCCCTTACTCTTTGCATTGGCAATAGAACCTCTTGCTATTGCTATCCGTTCTGACCTTGCCATCTCAGGTATTAATTGCAGCCGACAGGATCACAAATGTGCTCTGTTTGCTGATGATGTTGTTATGTATGATTCCAGTTCCCGAGTGTCTTTGCCCAATCTGTTGACTTTACTTCATCGATTCTCTATAGCTTTGGGTCTCGCTCTAAATTCTTCTAAATCAACTGCATTAAATATCTCACTACCCCCTTTGGAGGTTCAATACCTTCGAGACAACTTTGATTTTCAATGGACTCTCCATTCTCTTCCCTATCTGGGGATTCATCTTACACGTTCTATTTCAACAATATATTGTGCCAATTATCCCCCTCGTTTTAAACAACTCAAAGATAATTTGCGTAGTTGGGTGGACTTCCCTTTATCTTGGTTTGGTAGAATAAATTCTATCAAGATGACCCTTCTACCAAGATTGCTCTATTATTTTCGGACATTGCCGATTGCGGTCCCCAGAGGAGAAATCTTGTGCTTACAATCCAACATTTCTCAATTCATATGGGGCAATAAGCATCCTCGGATCAATAATTTGAATTTATATTTCCTGAAAAAGCATGGAGGCTTGGGACTTCCTAATATTTTGGCTTATTTTCACACGGCCCAGATAATGCAGCTCTCTTACACTACAGCCAAAGGATATGTACTTCAATGGGTTGGCATTGAGGCTTTGTCTTGTCATCCTTATGCTATTGGTTCTCTCATGTGGCTCCCCAACCGATTACGTCCTCCCATCCTTTGCCCTACGTTATCCTACTCTGGGACAGGTGCGTACCCGTAAATCCTTATTTTCCCCTCATACCCCCCTGGCCCCAGTCTTTTGTAATCCTGAATTTGTACCTGGTTTAACGCCATCTGTGTTTCAATGGTGGATCAATAAGGGCTTTTTACGTATTGGGTATTATTTATATGGGAATCATCCATACTCTTTACAATATACCTGAAACAAATATCAATTACCTCCTAGCGAGTTCTTTCGTTATAACCATATTGTGTCCTTTATCTACTATAAGTTTAAATTACTGGCAGAAGCCCTTACACACACCTCTCTCGAACTTTCTTGTCGAGTTTCTGGTGTGGAGAAAGGTCGCATATCTATTATATATACTTTTTTTATTGATCCAAATGTTAAACTTCTCTATATGACACAATGGGAAAGAGATTTAAATATCTCCTTAGAGTTAGATACTTAGCTAATGCTTTATCTAAAATCTCTATTAATATCACACTTATTGAATCTAACTATAAAATGCTCCTTCGTTGATACTTGGTGGAGGTGTCCTGTGGTGACTAGATTTTGGATCCGTTTATTTAGTTTTCTCTACTCAGTGACAGGAGTCAACGTTCATAGGTCCCCTTAGGTAGCCCTATTTCAGAAATTGCTTGCAGACATCCCCAAGAAATTGGTTAAATTGATTCTTTACATTCTCCTGGAAGCGAGAATCACAATAGCCAAATACTAGAAGCGATTGGCATTACCGCTTGACTATGCTAAAAATAAACTCAGTTGGATCATAATTAATGATGAGCTAACTAGTATTCTTAATAACAATGCTTAATAACAATTTGATAGTATGTGGGAGCCATTGATTCGATATCTTTCTGTTAACTAGCAGACTCCTGGCTGACCCTCCTTTACTCCTCCTTTTCTTTATCTTCCTTCCTTTTTATTTCAGACTATTGTTTTTTCTAGTATTGATTCCGACATCCCACTTGGTGCAATATATACTGATATCTGACTTAAGCTTGAATATGTTTAGAAATGCTTTATTTTCACTGCATATTTTAAGTTGAATTATTAATTCCTGGGGATTTTCCCTTGGCCTCTAGCACACACCTGGGAATGTTTGGTTTTATGCTTGACTACTCAGTTTGTTTCTTCACTTTGTTACTTTATTGTTTGTATCATTCCTTAGTGAATAGACTTATTGTTTGAAATCCTGCAACCCCATGATTGTGGGCTATATTCCTTTGTATGCTGTTTCTAAACTTAATAAAAAAACATTGAAATATAAAAAAAAAGTCTGCTAATTTGTCCAGGTCTAATTGTTTGATGCTAAAATAAGTCTCCAAGAACCCCAAAATGTAATTGTAGGATCCACAAATAATTCTGCAGTAGTTGGTGTCAAAGTGCATTCATCTATTTGGCTTTTGCAGGAGTTGAGCCATAAAAAAGAACATTCAAGCAAGTCCACAGGCTGCCATTAAACAAATAAGCAAAGACCTGGCCTTTTAGAACAGTGTGATCTGGACTGATTAATCAGAATGTTATTTTTACACAGCAATAGTAGACATGTTTGGGAAAAAATAAAGACAGCATTTCAGGAGAAGAACCTCATACCAACTCTGCAGCATGGTGGTGGCAATATTATGTCTTGGGGTTGCTTTGCTGCTTAAGGGCCTGGTCAGCTTACTTAAACTATGAATTCTGCACCATATCAAAGTGTGCTTGAGAATGTAAGGTCCTTTGTCCAAAAGATGAAGCTGAACCAAAGCACAATAGCTAATCCATCGAGGAATGGCTCAAAAGGAAGTAATAGAAGGTTATGGGCTGGCCTTGTTAAAGCCATAATTTTAATTCCCATTTAAGTATTGTAAGGTGGTTTGAAACTGGCAGTGCATGCAAGGAAACCCAAAAAACATCTTGCAACTTAAAGTTAGACTCCAGGTATTGATTTTATTGCATACCTGCATTGGTCTAGCTCTATACTATCTAGGAAGACCTGGGTTATAGTCAGCGGCCCCTGTTTGTCTGTTTGTGGCACAGACAAATTTCAAATCTTTCATTTCAGCAGACTCATAGTAGAGAAAGAAATGTTTTCCAATAGAGGTCACTGTTAGGGCCCATTCAAACCACAGTGCAGTGCACTTCAGCGCATACAGTTTTGTCTATTGACACAAATTGTAAAGTGCTGTGTTAGGCAGCCCTTTCAAAATTAATGGGCTGTAATGTACTGCAGCAAGTGAAAAAATAGGTGGTGTCTATATTTTTCACAGTGCAGGGCAACAGTTCCATTACACAGCAGTCCCTGTTGCTTAGAAGGGTAGACCATACAGCTGCCAATCCACCCTCCGAATGAACCTCTGTGACCGGCCACCACCTCCCCCTTTCCCAAACAGGCTGCTTCTCCTTCCTTTTTACTCTTTTACTCTCCATCACCCTGAAGGTTAACATGAAAGTTTACACTTCGTTCCCAATTCCAATTCACTATAGGAGCTTACTCTCACTTTGCAACAGGTTATCAAACTGAACAGATTTCCTCTTTAACTATTAGGTTGGACTTGGGGTATGTTATTGTGTTCAAACCTGTAGCTTGTAATAGTTCCCAACCATTGACAGTACTGTTTGCCAACAGTTCTGTTTCAGGGTCCAAGGGTAACTGAGTGCAGCATACATCTCCTTATGTATGGTCTTTCTCACTTCCACAACCAACAGCAACAACATACACCTGACCCCAAACATTAACTCTTTAATACACAATACAATACAATTTAAGGCATCCTACCTACATGCTGAATGTTCTGCAACTTATACCTACACCTCATTCTTACTTCCAGTGAAACAATTCTTGCTGATTTTTGTTTATTCTGGAAAGGTTTTTGAGACCTTATGGAATCTGGGAATACTTACCATAAAATATGGATTTTACATTTATATGGCATATCTCATATATTGATGCCTTTAAGTTTATCCAGTGTTCTTGATACTTATGATT